TCTGTTCGATGAATGTGTTCGAGTACTTGGAGGAGCTAGAGGTGGAGTGGTCTAGATTAGACCCGCTAGCTTCTTGGACTGCCTTAGTCAAAGCCCCTAAGGGTGAGATGTTCGTGAGCGAGGTTGTTATTGGCGGCCGCAAGGCCGGGGCCTATTATGACACTTGCTCAACGCGGAACTTTATTAGTCGTGCGTGCGTTGAGAGACTGCGCTTACAGGGGCGAGTGCAGTGCCTGAGTCGACCTGTGGAGTTGACCTGTGCCAACAAACAGCGCATGGTAGTTAATGACTACCTCCAGGATGTAGAGTGTTGTTTCCCGTACACGGGAGGGGACTTGAGACATTGTGTCTTGTTCATAGTGAGCGATGAACTCCCCATGGACATGTTGTTAGGTATGTACTACCTCTCTGTGGCACAACCCCAGTTTGACTGGGACCGAAAAGTGGTCAAACACACTTTGCCAGGTGGAGGGACCGCCAGATTACATGAGTTCAAAGCTAGTAGTCTGATAGAGTCCTACGGGTGCACGTGTGCGGCCGCGTTCGACAATTATTATAAGCAAAATCAAGAGGAGGGTATGTACTTAGTTTATGTCTCTGCTGCAGGTGAGCTGGTGAAAATGCCGTCGAAGATAGAGGGAGTAGTTGCTAAGTACCCTGATCTATTTGAAGAGCCGACAGAGGTTGTTGAGAGGGAGGTCGTCCACGCGATAGAGATTATCCCAGGATCTAGTATCCCGAAGGGTAGGATCTATCGGATGTCTCTAGGCGAGCTTGATGAGCTTCGCCGCCAACTCAAGGAACTCGTAGAGAAGGGCTGGATCCGGCCGAGTGTCTCTCATTATGGGTCCCCAGTTCTATTCGTGCCTAAGAAGGAGGAGGGTACTCTTAGGATGTGCATTGACTATAGGGGCCTCAATGCAATCATTGTAAAGAACAGAGAGCCCCTACCGCGCATCGACGATATGCTAGATAGAGTGCAAGGGTGCCGGTACTTCAGCAAGATAGATCTGAAGTCCGGGTACCATCAGATTGCAATCTGGCCCAAGGATCAACACGAAACCGCTTTTTAGACCAGGTACGGTCTGTACGAGTTTGTGGTGATGCCTTTTGGCCTTCGCAATGCTCCTGGCACCTTTCAACACGCTATGAATCGGATATACCATGACTACTTGGATAAGTTTGTCATCATCTACCTCGATGACATACTTATTTTTAGTAAGACTGTCGAGGTGTGACAGCACAATTTCAAGATCAACGGTGAGAAGTGCGAGTTTGGCCGCACCCGTGTCTTCTACTTGGGTCATGAGATCTCCGCGGAAGGGTTGAAGTTCGATGACGTGAAGGTGGCCAACATTCGTGATTGGCCACGTCCACGGTTTGTGACTGAGATGAGATCTTTCTTAGGGATGAAAGGCTACTACATAACTTTTGTAAAGAACTATAGCATAGTGGCCGCTCCTTTGATTGATATGACCCGCCTTGACACCCCGTGGGAGTGGACAGATGAGTGCGAGGCTGCTTTCAGACATCTGAAGCATGCGGTGATGCACTATGAAGTCTTGAAACTTCCCGATCGTGACAAGCCGTTCATAGTCACCACGGATTGCAGCCAATATGGCATTGGCGTCGTGCTCGCACAGCAGGAGGGGCCAAAGTTGAGGCCAGTAGAGTACATGTCCAAGAAAATGCTGTCTCAGAAGTTGGCTAAGTCCACTTATGAGAAGGAACTCTATGCGGTGTACAAGGCTCTCACCCATTGGAGACACTATCTCCTTGGGAGGTTCTTCATCCTCGGGACTGATCATCAGACCCTGAGATGGATGAGAACTCAACCGGTACTCTCTGGCGCTCTCAAGCGTTGGATCGAAGTCGTTGAGCAATATGACTTTGACCCTCAGTATCTCAAAGGGGAGTACAACAAGGTTGCTGATGCCTTGTCGCGCAGACCGGACTTCTCAGGTGCGCTGATTACTGAGTTCGATCTGACGGACAATGTTACTCAGTCTTTGGTGGAAGCCTATCGCGAGGACCAGCTTATGTCTGAGATCATACGCAGACTTGAGGTTTAGGATAAGAAGACTTCCGTCGAGTTTGAGTTGGTCAATGGCTTGCTGTTCCTAGAGAAGGCAGGGAATAAACGCTTGTGTGTTCCAAATAGCGAGTCTTTGCGGTTTTTGTTTTTAGGCGAGTGTCATGATGCCACCGGCCATTTTGGGCATAAGAAGACTGCAGCCAACTTGCTGCAACGGTTCTGGTGGCCCACGATGATGCGAGATGCACAGCTGTACGTAGAGACTTGTCAAGTTTGTCAACGGGACAAGCCACATACTCAGGCTCCTCTTGGGCTTCTAAAGCCCCTTCTGATTCTGGAACGGCCTGGTGAGAGTCTGTCCATGGATTTCATGGATACTCTGATCAACAGCAAGAGTGGAATGCATCACATTTTCGTCATCATGGATAGATTTAGTAAGTATGCTAGGTTAGTAGCCATGCCAGAAACAGCAAAGACGGAGTATGTAATTAGAATGTTTAAAGAGAACTGGGTCAGGGACTTTGGTCTACCAAAGTCCATTGTTAGTGACAGGGATGTCAGGTTTACCAGCGAGTTGTGGAAGGCCGCTGCTGCAAAGCAGGGCACTCAGTTGCAAATGACTTCTGGGAATCACCCAGAGGCCAATGGCGAGGCTGAGCAACTGAACCGCACTGTGCAACACCTGTTGAGGCATTACATCAAGCCCAACCAGGTGGACTGGGATGAGAAGCTTGCTCTCATCGCCAGTCTGTATAACAATGCGGTACACAACGCCACTGGGGTGAGCCCGAACAGTCTGCTACTGACTTTCAAGCCTAGACTACCGTTGGCTTTCCTTCTTCCTGAGAATCAGTCAACTGCTGCACCCGGTACATTAGAGTTTGCTTACCGCTATGAACAGAAGATGCAGCAGGCGGTAGAACAGATGCAAGGCACAGTCCGCGATGATAGAGTCCGAAAACAGACACCGCCGGCCTTCTACATTTCAGGTTGGGGATAAAGTCTGGGTTAAGTCTTCAGAACTGGGACAGGAGCAAGGGATATCCCGCAAACTCATGCCTCAGTACTTTGGACCTTGGGAAGTCTTGGACATCGTCGGGACAGATCCGGATGGTCCATCATTTGTTATCTGGATTCCTGGTCATCTCCGTACTTACCCTGTCTTTCACGCCTCCAAGCTGGCACCTTTCAAAGAGACTGACCAATTTTCATCTCGTCGCTCAATGCTGCTCCCAACCATGGACAGAGAGGTGGATATCGATGATATTGTGGATCACAGAGAGCTGCCGGTATCAAGACCAGGAGGCAGGAGACGTCCTCCAAAACCGAAGCTGCAGTACCGCGTTCGGTTCCGACATCACACTGATCCAAAGGAGGACCGCTGGCTCACCAGGGAAGAGCTCATGCAGACCGCTCCTCAGGTTGTAACTCAATATGAGAGATCTCTGCAGAAGGGAAAGCACCCTATGATCGAAGATTGAGCTTCTCAGAGGACCGTTGAAGCTAAGGAGGAGGGAATGCGAGGCCACTGCCTCTAAGAGCCCCATAAGGCCCCATTTTTGCAGCCCGTCGGCCGCCCTAAGTGAAGGCAGGCTCGACGAGTCCCTCAGGGTTTTATGGCCATCACGCAACTCAGGGAAATTCAGGCAGTTGCGCAGCGCCAGAGATTTGAATGAACCCAGGCCCTGGGCTGCCTGTGTGAATGTACGTGAAGCAGGCCCTGGGCTGGATACGGGTACCGGGCCAAACACAGGCCGAAAGCAGTTGGGCACATGCAACCACTTCAGGCCCAAGGTCTGCTTCCTTGTGACTGGGCCTCAGGCTACTGGGGCGTACTGGAAGCTTCCTGGATTGGACGCAGGCAGGCCACTTCGATATAGGGAAGGGCCTGCCTCCTCATTTGGCATTCGGGTGCTGGCTGCATGCTGCGCAAGCGCTGCTGCTGCGCTATTTGCTGGCTGGCGCCTACACTCTCACGGGCGAGCAGGGAAGGAGCACGCAGCCATAGCCGAGCTGCGCTGCCGTATGCTGGGTGAAGCGCAGGGTGGTCCTTGGGTGCTAGTGGCATCTGTGAGTTGGGGAACGAGGTTGTGAGTGTAGCGCGAGAGGAGGTTGTGAGTGTAGCGCGAGACATACCTGGTGCTGAAGCACGCAACATTGGTCGCCATATGCTTGTACTTCGGGAACGCTGTTGGTGTCATCTCTCGGCTTCGTAGTATAGGCTAGATAGGATCTGCCACATGTAGTCTGGGCGCCGAGCGCCAATAGGAAACTCTGGTTCTTCGTTGATGATGATGGGACTACTTCAGCATTGTCAATTATGATCTCTTGGTGTGTTCTTATTTGGTGTATCTCGTGATGCAATTCTGCTGTTGGTTCGAGGTCAAGACTATCTGGACTCATATGTATGATGCTGTTTGATTGCTGGAGTTCGCTATTTGTCATCTTCCTTGCACTACTGCTGACAGGTGAAAACCGTTTCAGCAGGCTGGGCATAACCCATCTGTTTGAGCAATGCGCGCGCGCGCGGATGTGTGTGTGTGTGTGTGTGAGAGAGAGAGAGAGAGAGAGAGAGATTCCCTACACATCGGCGTAATCGGGTTTGGTTATAAAATGTAGTGGTGTTTATCCAAGAATGGGTGTTACTGGCTATCCATTTTTTTTTTTTGTGGGTGCAAACAGTGAGGTGGTGTTTCATGCCAGGATGGATGCAGCAGTGTTGGTCATTCCAATCTTGGGTACTCGTTTTGACATGGGTTGACATCTCGTCATAACCTGCTTCTATCATATGTGGGTGTGTCAGTGTCCTAGCTATTGAAGTGGACGGAGTTCTCTTTTGTCTCAGTTTTGTTGGGTGACTGAGGGAATCGTCCTCTGCGTTGAAACTCATGGAAAGCTGTCTGTATCTGCACACATGGGTTAATACATTTTTTCACTATTTTATGTATCGTATTGATCTCTGCAGCCAAGGAGGCGATCTGGATCCCATTCTGCAAGGGCAGCTCGCTTGGGCAGTGAAGCTGGTGCTTGTAGGGAGAACAGGGAAGGTGGTGCTGATGGTGGAGCACACTCTACGGACGCAAATGATGTGAAGGTCGCCGCAAGGGAGATGCTATTACAACTGGCAGGTGGAGAGACCATAGAAGATGCTCCAGGGGAGGACAACTTGGCTTCTTGCAACGGCCCTGAGTTGATGGATAACGATGGTAGAGGCCAGGGCAGGCACCAAACAGATTGTGAAGGACGTGCTGGGAGGACAGGTGAACAACCTGGGCCTCCTGGTGATCCTCTGGGAGGACTGCTTGGTGCTATTGCAGGTAGTGGATCGGGTAGTGGACTGGGAGCAGCTTTGGGTGGGTTAATGAGCTCAATTACTGCAGGGGATAGGGGAAGAGAAGGGAGCACTGCAACTCTTGATGATGCAGGTGGATTTCGTGACATTGTAGGGCAGTTGATGCAGAGCCCTGTTGTTGATGACATGATGATGCAAATCTTGACTGGTGCTGGAAGGGGTGCTGATGCAGGTTCTGCTCGCAGCAGGAGAGGCCCAGCGGTTGAAAACCCGACTGGAGACCTTGCTAACATGATGTCTCAGATGATGCCCATGGTCACTCAAATGTTGGGTGGCATTGCCGGAGGCCCAAGCGTCCCAGATGCTGGGGAAAGAGGAGCAGGCAATGTCGACCGGAGCAGAACTTGGAGTCAAGCTGGCCGTAGTGTGGAACCTGGAGTTGACTCAAGTCGTGAGAGTAATGGATTGGCAGGCAATCAAGAGGGTGATGCTGAGGAGTGGAAGGCTTCTCTTTCCAAAGTAAGTTTGAAATCGTTTTTTCCCTTAATTTAGTTTGGACCATTTGTTGATAGATGTGAGTCGTCCTTGTGCAGGGGCCATGCCAGTTTTCGCTGTATTGTTCCAATGTTAACGGTCATACGTCAGCCTGAAATCTTGTGGCCACTGCTGTTTGTCTTCTCCGGTCTTTTTTTTTTTTTTTTTTTTTTT